ACTGGTACCCAATTTTAGATGAAATTGTTTAGATTATAGATGAAATTATTATCTAGACACGGCCCTGTTAACCCCACAAAATAAGTAATAATGCCATGCAGTGATGATATTAGATATTAGATAGATATTAGGTTAAAATGTAATACAACATAATTAAAACCTTAAGATGTGATAATCAGTGCAAAATATAATACAATAAGCGTATTGTATTACTTTTTTGCCGCATTATGTAATGACGTTATTACCTTTATTGCAAAAATGGAAAATGCCGAGGTCGTTCTCTCTTTCTCCATTTTTTTAATCGTAATCATTTTAATCTTTGAACCTTTGGTAATTAAATATCGGTGTTATGCCATACACCAGGCTCTATGTCCTGTTCCCTGTTAAATAAATTATTCTACTTTATATGTACAACTCTGCTCCATTGTAACATGAACAGGTGAGGCTGCGGCTCACCTCTCTGACTGAACATCTAACTATTGCATTGAACATTTTGAGAGGCCTTACCGCCGCTCTAAGGCCAGTCTTCATCAATGAAGCGCCCCCTGCTGTTCAGCATTCAAATTGACTCTGTGTAGCATTTATTGGCAAGTTCCTGTCCTTGCCATTCTAATAAATAAATAGTTTAAATATTACATTTAGTATTGTGGATAATTTTACTCTGGTATATATTTTTTCTTCAGTAGGATAAGTTGGTGAACTAATAAAAAATATTTAACAAGCACACTGGTGTTCTGATTATTATAGTTTGATTATTATGACTTTTTTTTACTCTGCAGGAGGAATAGCGGCCTACAACACGGGGGATGGAAAGGTCCATTCATATGAAAATGTGGATCAACACACAACTGGCAAAGATTACTCCAATGATGTTGTTGCCAGAGCCAAATGGTACAAAAGAAACGGTTTCTAAAGTGTGCGGCTGATAAACCAGAGTGTATCCAGCTAAAAAGAAAAAATACTTTCATGCATGCATCTGTTTTAGATTATGCTTGATTTATGCTTCAGCAATCTGTTTAGGTTTCTATTTAGTCGGAGCAAAGCTGGTGGAAAAGTCATGTTTAGAATCAACAGTGTCCATTATGTTAAATCTGATGCTTAAGGAGAAATTCATGTACTGTGCAGAATGTTTTGCATTTGTAATCATAAACCGCTGAATAAGTTTGAATAAAATGGTAATTGCTAATTATTGAAATAAATGTAACAAAATGCATCATTTTCTCATGTTGCAACCAAATGTAATTAAATGAAGCCTAACATTTTCACGGTAGCGGTTTATTTGTGGACTTTAGGCTTGATGACTTCACACAAGACTTGGGATTCAATTTGCCACCAATGATTTCACTCAAACCTGAGCCTTCACTCAAACTTGAGATGGATGATGAAGGTGAATTTAATGACGAACTTACAAAACTCACAGGAAACTCAGAAATTAGGGTGACAGGAATAAAACAGAAGATTATGACAGAATGAATCCTGGGAGTTTAAATAGTGTGGATATGCGATTGTGGCCTGGGAAACTGGTGAGTACAATAAACAAAATGAAGAGCAGCTGCGGAGAATCTAAGAAATGAGCTGAGGTAGGAAGAAAAATGGACACAGGAAACTATTAGAATAAAACAGAGTACACATAATGCCAAAATTATTTCCATAAAACTTAGTTTAAATGCATGCAGTTAAACTAAGCACACAGACAGTTGTACTTTGGGGGAGCAAGGTCTGGTTTTAATTTGATGAAATGTTGTTTTATGAGTTAGAGCTACTGTATAGCATGGAAGTGGAAACTCAAAATTCAATCCATTTGTTGAATTTTTATCCGACAAACACAAAGTACAGCATGATTTTGAAATGAAAGTAAAATAATAGATGATTTTTCAGGTTTTCAGAAATGCAAATCTATAAAATGTAAGTTGCATATATATTCAGACACATTTATTCTTGTAACACTAAATAGAATAAACTAATTGCCTTCAGAAGAGTAAATATATAACATTTTCAACAAAGAACATAAGTGACAGAGTATTCATCTGAAAAAGGTGTTCAGGACCCAGATGATAGTTGAAAAAAATAAAATAAAATCTGTATTCAGAGGTTTTGTAGTACAAATAAAATTATTTTTTCTAGCTTCGTACAAATTAAACTTATATGAAAACGGTAAAATAAATTAAATCCTCAGATCCCATGGCCCGAAACATTCCTCTTGTCCAACGTAATTAAATAAAATAAGCTAATTACGCTAAGATGTTTTGAAACTTAACCTTTTATTGCCTTTTCTTCTCTTTGTCCAGTAAATAAACATGAGAAACATCTCTCCAAACATATTCAGATCTCAGAAATGTAAAAGTATTTATTTTTGAAAGGTTTAGTGCAGAGCGCAGCAGTTGCCAAACAAGCAAACTCCATCCAAAGCTGCAGCAGTCTTTATTTTCATCTGATGTTTTAGACCACAAAAGACACACGAGGTGCACTGCAGCTGAGCGAAGTCTGTAGATACATGAGACCTGGTCATCAGAACAGCAGGCGGAAGGGATGTCTGTCCTCAAAGTGTTTTGTGTGACGAAGGAGAAAGGTCAGAGGTCAGCGGTAGGTGCAGTGGTGCTCCTGGTGCTGCCCCAGGTCCACTTTGTGCTGGAAGCTGTAGTGGCAGAGAGTGCAGCGATAGGGCCGGTCGTCCCTGTGCTTTCGGCTGTGCGTGATGAGGTTGGAGCTCTGGCTGAATGCTTTGCCGCATATCTGGCAAACATGAGGTTTCTCCCCTGCAAAAGGCCGACAGGTCATGGTTTAAGAGATTCTGAAGGGTTGACTCACACATGACGACATTCCTCTATTTCATTTCTACATATTAATGATTAAAAATGCTACTGAAATTTAAAAATACTTTATTAATTCCAAAGGGAAAATAAATGTAACTCATATGAATTCAAATTCTTCAGTTATTATAGATATCAATAACTCTGTCTGTGTTACAGTGAATTTGAAGAAGCCTCTGACTGAAGACACTCTGTTTTCCCAGGACAGTCTCATGAAGAAATAAATATAAAAAATTACTGATAGAAAGACGCACCAATAGACTCAAACTGTTGTTTTTGTCGTCTATTGTAAGATAAAATAAGAAGAAAATCCTATTTTTAATCAAAAAATATGTATACTTTTTATGTAAACAGTTCTTTTTCTGTTGCCAAGATAAAAACCTTTTCAAATTGTCGTAATTAAATCAGGAGTTGTGCAGTTAATCATACAGACAGGAATTGCTCTCTCTACAAGCAGCATGCGCCCCCTACTGTGCAGCAGCTAAACTGCAGCTCTGGAAAAAACTAAGAGCCCACTACACTGACTGAAAATCTCCTGGTTATTCCACCAAATATTAATTTCTGAGCTCCTCCTGAGTTAAAACATTACCATTATTGTTTTTAAATGAATATGAACTTCTTTTCTTTGTCTGAAAGCACTGCATCTTTTTAGTTATTTTGACCATTTCTCATTTTCTGCTAATAAATGCTAAATTTTTTGCTTGAGATTTCAGAAACATGTTGTCAGTAGTTCCTAGAATGAAAGAACAATGTTCATTTTACTCAAACCTTAAGTAAAATCAGAGAAACCGATCAT